GGTCTCACTACAGATTAGATAAAACCAGATCTGGTGTTCAAAACCGAGGTTTTTCCCACTAAGGAGAGATTTTTGTTTTTAGGCATTTTTTCCCGGCCAACAAATCGTACAAAATATTTTATGCGACTCATCTCTGTACAGCTGTTCGCAATGGGCCGATCGTCCCATCGGGTTGTTGGTTATTCAACGCGCGTCCACCAAACGGTATAAAATATAATAAAGCGTTTTAAAAACAACACTGCCGTGTATCGATGACCGGTTAGATATTATATCATGTGAAACCGCCGGTTTGACGTACACTTATACACCGTGCCCGTTCCCTTTTTGGAGACGTCTTATGTGTGTATGATGTACCTATACCGACTGCTTCTGGCCGTTGCAGAAGTTCACACGAAAGTTTCCATCGTCATACCGTTTATTTTTGTATAATAATAATGAGGTATATTATTTTAATAGAATTCGTATATACCTACAACGAAAACGCCCGTAGTTTTCATCTGTCAAAACTCGAGACCCCCTTTGGTGAAAAAGTTCAACTCGGACAGCAGACAACACACTTGACAGCTTCTGCCGCTGCCGAGGAATTTATAATTATTATCAGTGTCAAAACCACGTTGCAATGATAATAATTACACTGCCGTTGAGTGATACTACGGCCGGCTATGTGCACGCGTACCTGCCTATACCTACGGGTACGACTTAACGTTTATAATATAATTTTATGATTCTTTAGTTGCGACCCGTTCACTCGGAATATACATATTATAAAATATACGATAACAGCTTGTTAATTTCACATTAAACGGTTTACAGCAGAACTGTATTACTCGTTTGATTGAAAATTAAAAAAAAAAAAATACTTCCACTTATCACAACAGCCCATTAAAAAACATCATAATACAAGTTTTCAATTTGATTTGTCCAACTATTTCAATTAGCCAAGTTCTGGCACTATAACGGGGTTGCTCCCTCGTCCTCTATCAATTATACCTTCCGGCTTAGACTCTAATATAAGTGAAGTTTCATTAGTTTTTTTTTTTTTTTTACATATATATTGCTCGCACAGGTAATTAAATTAAATTACAAGTCGTCGTATACTTTCTTTTATTAATTTATATTTCCGTTTAATTTTAAATATTTTTTTGTTTTCTATCCGAGACACCGAACACCACGTTGCATATACAGCGTAAACCGTTGGTATAAATAAATAATTCATGAGAAAACCCGTAGCATTATGCCCGGTATACTTATACAGTTTGTCCGGTTAACTTCAATGTATACTTGAAGTACCTACGATTGTTTCCAATTACCGATACGTTATCATTTCCAACAGACGACACAAATGTGTTATGCATTCACCCGAGACAAAATACATCACAAGACGTTATTATGACAAAATGTAAAGCCCAACCAAACTCACTTTTTGCATCTTTTGGCAAATGAGCTTTATAGTTTCCTTTTTTTTTTGTATTTATTATTTAAATACCATATTTCTTTTTTTTTTACACAATCTAAAGTGTAAAATTTATACATTTCTAGAATTGTTTAAAGTTATAGGAAATATGGTTATATTTTTGTATTACAGTTATATTCTTGTATTATTTGGCAAATGTTTATTACCGTCCGGTTCACCACGATATTTATCAATTTCTACATAAAGTCTGATTAATAAATGCAATATATATGTTTTAATGGTTCTATACAAATATCAAGAGATTTTCACCGCTAATCGTTTATGTCTTTACACGCCTATAAATGTTCAATTATAAAAAATGAACGTATTATAGGCTTTAAAAAAAAAATACCTATCACGGACAACGTTTATAATGCAAAATACGCAGCGGCGCTTATAAATTAGCCTTATTGGAGGACAATATAAACTCGTTTATCGACCATGTCCTGATGAAAATCGTATCAAACGAGACAAATAAGTTCTACGTGATCCGACAGTTACAGCCGATGACGGATAATACAAATTTCATAATGCTATTAATATGGCATGATATACGTTTGGCTGTTGTACACCGCTTACAGGAAATACAATAAAACGGTAGATAGTGCTTGGACTTCCTTAATTTTGCCATATATAAAATATATTTTGAAAAACACATGAACGTGCACATTTGTAAAAAATGGTCGCTCTGTTGTATGTATTTTTGGCGTGCGATGATAAATTGAATGTAAACACCAGAAAATAGCAATATAATTTAGTCCTAGACCTTTCTAGACCTACTTAGGCGAAATTTGCATCGACATCATTCTGGGAAATAATTAAATTAAATGACAATCTTCCAGAACGAGTCAACGAGTTGGACATAAAGACATGTACGGTTGTTTTGTGTAATAAGTAATAACTATAATCACTGTTGAGCAGCCTGAACGAACGCATTGACAGCGGCAGTTGTGGTTTAGGATAGGTAAAGTGTACACCTGGTATATGGTTTGATTTATGGCCAGCAAAATATACTCTCAACAATCGTATAATTATCATGATCCGATTTACCAGAGTTATCTTGGAGCAGACACAATAAGTAAAAAAAGTCTTTATCCGAGCCGTTACTAAGTTCCAAATCGTATTTTTTACTTTTTAGTCCTTGGCGATTTTCAGTGATTTATTTTACTTCGCTTATATTAAATTAAATGTCGGTTCATAATAAGCCAGTCAAATATATAATTAAGATGCTATTTCTGTTAACTAAAAAAAAAGTTAAATATTTTCTCTTAATAAATATTATGCTCTATTGAACAAACTACGAACAACTGAATTGTGTGTTTGATCACTCGACTACCATTCCATCAGTACAACAAGCCAAACGTTCGAAAAAAAAACTTTTGAGACCAATTTCAAACGATGATAAAAATATGTTTTTTAAACAGATATTCTGTTGGAATGCCGTGTTTGTTTCTTATCCCATTCGAGTTGTTTGCGTATAATATGTTATGTACAGACCTGCCGACCCGGACTTATACACAATACTATTATCATTATAATATAATACTGTTGTGTTTGCGATTATGTAAACAAGGATTACAACAGTTGTAGTTGGCGTATTTGCCGAGTAATACTTTAAATCGCTCGACCAATCCTCGTGCGGTAAAAAAAAACGTGCGTTTTCCAAACAGCTGTTAATCAAAACATATTATAAATCGATCAACATCAGTCTGATAATTTGCAAATAATAATTATAACTGGACACGAACGGCAAGGTTATCATACACGAAATACACAGTATACGTCACTCGCCGAAGCAAACGAGTGTGTGTCTAATTAACTAGACGGATTAGGTATTTAAATAAGTTCATATAAGTAACACGAAAGTGTTCGGGTGGTCCGGTTGTTGTTCGTCCACATCTTCCCTTACATAGAAGAAGGCGGAACTGGACTAAAAAAAAAAATTATCTATCGTGTATCGATTACTTCTTCGGCGGCCTCTCTTGGGCGTTTTTCAAAAAAAATTAATAAATAACCGCAAAACTTCACAAACGCTCAGGGCAAAAAAAAATAAAATCCATTCCACCTATAAACTTCATTTTGCGGTCTATAGTCGGGTATAAGAAGAGTGTATTGGCAATATTTTATGCAAATCTGCCAGCAGCAAATCCGATAACCGTTATTTAACACTATCCATTATAATAGAATAGGAAAAAATATGAATAATAATAATAATAAAAAAGCATGTGTCTATACAATATGTATGCGTACCTCGTGCGCGGTTCATTATGATAGTGTGACAACTGATGTCAATATTATAACCGCATCAAACGCCAATTTCCAAATCCATTTCCATAGTAAAGTTAGGGAAATGTCATAATCTAGCAATCATGCATATTTTTTTAGTCATGGGATTAATAATATTATGGATTTTTCTCAAGCAAAATAGTAAACTGTGGCCGCGCGGGTCAACCCAATGCGAAATCCACCTCGTGTGGGAATGCTTAAAATATTATAAGAATATAATTATTTATAGTATTTTCATAAGCAAGTAAAAAAACGCAGGTTTCAGGCGGGCAGGTAGGCTGGTAAATGGACAAAGAAAATAACCCTAAGGATATAAACCAAAACTTGATTATACAAGTGGGCGGTCCCTAACCGTATAGCCCGTAGTCCGTGATGATTAATTATGTTATTTTCCAAGTGCCAATTTTTATTGATATGAAAAACTTGTAAACCTTAGGAAAACGCAGGAAATCGATTCAAAAAATTGATATTTTATTGAAAATTGAAAATTACAATTTAGGAAATTATACATTAATAATTATTATTATCATTTGCCTTAATTTTCTTTATTAAACAAATGACAACTGTTGGAGATTCGTTTGAGTATTGCAATTTTTTATTCATTACATTTTTTCCAGAGCTATATTAAAATTTTAAACTTAAATGATTAGGTAACTTATACGGTAGTTAAATTTTTGAATTATGAATAATCTTCTGAATGTTGTGTCTGGTCTATAGCCGTTTTTGAGTTATTATTTTTTAAGTTTAAAATTTAGAACCAGAGGTGGAGTGTGGTAGAGTAATACGCGCAGTCACTTCCCGTCATTAATTTTAAATTTCAACAACTTTAAAAATACAAATCCAAAACAGCTGTTTTCGGACCAGTAAACATTTTTAACAAATTATTAATAAAAAAAATTAACTAAATATACACTTTCCGAGTTTGAATAGTCGACAGCGCACTCTGGAAAATAGCATATAAAAAAAAAAAAAAGGTAAATATTTGATAGTTGTATAATATAATATTGTAAAATAGCATAAAATAAAATATTATGCGAGCATTTTTTCGGAAAAAAAAAAATTACAAAGTGATAACCGTCCGACACTATTAGTGTCTTACGTTGTAAATTGATCATCCGGTATATTTAATACACCTACTAAACAACGGTAGCGGCAACCGCAGCAGCTGGCTGTTGTCGTTCACAAAGCAATCGATTCAGAGGGCGCCGCCGACGTATGCACTACTCTCTCCGCTCATGCGCATTCTCGTCGGTATCAAACGCGGTCGTTGACGTACATGGCAGTCCAGTGCCACGTGTGCGTATGCCGTTCCGTTGTTGGTTCACAAACGCGCCAGTAAAACACACTTTTCATAACCGTTTTTTTGTTTGTTTCGATAAGAAATATGGTCCGAAAATGCATCGTTTGCAAACTGCCGATGAACACGGGAAACAAGGAAATTTCGTTTCATTCGTGAGTGTTGTTTTTCGTGCGCCTTAACGCTGCACGTTTTCCTACTATTTTTTTTTATATAAACGCCATTATCGTTGGTTCGGCACAGGTTCCCCAAAGACCCGGCGCGAAGAAAACTCTGGATGAAAGCGTGTATGATCAATCTGCACTTGGCTTCGTACGCGGTGTGCTCGAATCATTTCTTACCCGAACAGTACTTGCCCTGCGGATACTTGAAGAAAGACGCCGTTCCCGTCGTGGCGTTGCCTTCTTCGTCGTCCGCCGTAAAGTATTATGAAACGTTTTAATATAAATTATTTAAAAAAAAAAAAAAACAAACCCACCTTCTTTCACTCGAAGGAAGCACATTTGAATCATAAACATGGCTTATGACCCTACACAGTCTCTTATCAATCATTTCTTAATCTGAGATCTAACCTGTTGATTTGATTATTCTCTTATCTCTTATCAGTTATGCAGAATTGATCAATTTTCCCTTATCACCTAATCAACCTTTTTATGTTTATTATCAATAATCTTTTATCGGTAACCTAATAGCGGTGACAATAGCGCTTACAAAAAAAAAAGTATAATTTTTTTATTTGTGGGAAAAACATGAGACTATGACACTATGAATATTATGTCATATAACATTATCTAATTTATTGTTTCTTATCAATTGATTCCCTTATCAGTGACCTCTTATCAGTTACCCAGCATTCATCTCTATTCCTTTCTCTCCCTTCCATTATCTTCCTCTCCTTACCCATTTGTATTACAAAAACGCCACACAATGAGTAGGGTGACTCAAATTTTTGACAGACCCTAAGTTATCAGCCATGTTCATGTCGATTAATTGTATTGTATGACCAGTTTATCATAAAGTGTTATGTCTTTTGTTCAGCCAACTCCTTCCGCGCCAGTCTTATGCTGCTAGGATTCGACAACTTGCCGGTCCGTCGCAAACCCAGACACAACCAAGCGGCACTTTAGTTAGGTATGACATAAAATGAACCAAAGTCCATCCAATGCATATATTATTATGCTTCTTACTTACTTTACCGCTGGTTTTAGCACTCCTGTGGGATTGTTGTTGGTTGTAAAAAATAAAGAACCGGAAACGCGGGATCCAGCAACACCCAGTCCAGAATTCAGTACAGTTGCTACGAGCCCGAGTCCAGGCCCTCCGACGGGAAGGCGAAGGATTTATAATCCGTGCCACATAGGCGATTTAAAAGCCGAACATTTCGATTCGCCGGGGAGGGCAGAAAGACTGGTGAAGATGATAAAACAGAAATACAAAACCAAACAGTCGCAGTGTAAGAAAATGAAAGGGAAAATAAGACGACTCGAAAACAAAGTCAGAGCGTACCAAAACGCCGTAAGGGCTTTGCAGCAAAAATAAACATAATGTAAAATGTATTCCTAAAAACTGTTAATTGTGCTATAATTTTGTTCGAATTTAAACTTCGGCATTATTTTTCTTTTAATCGGCTCTATTGTATTTGCTATCATATTAACGAATTTGTATAATAAATGGCTGTTTATTTTAATAAAACATTTTTTTAAATTTTTTTCACACTAATAAAATGTTAAGAAAACACAATTTGTAAAAATAACAAGTAAGTTTATATTTATGGTGAAGAAATTAAAAAAAAAACAATTATTATGTAAATAAAACTAATAATTCGTTTAAAGTAATTGTTTTGAAAAAAAATCTACATCTATTTAGTGTGATATTAGTATTACGTTTTCTTATACTTTATAAAAAATAGCATAACGTTAAATAATCAGTGTAAAGGCCTTTTTAACGCGCTACACCAATTTTCTTTTAAAATAATTGATATTTTTTAGTTTTTCTTTTTGCAAACATTTTTGTTTATGCTATACTACAATTTTAGACAATATTCAAATTTGTATCCTTTTTAGTATTTTCCAGAGCTTATCAACTTTTGAAACAAGGTTCAAATTTAAATTATTGTCTAATAATGTACTATAACATAAATTAAAATGTTTTCCCAAAGAAACACTACAAAATTGTAATTATTTTAAGAGTAAACTAGTGTAGGGCGTTAATTGAATCACCCGATATAATGTAAATATAAACAAATCCGGGACGTTTTGACATCTTGACATTTCCTTTTTCCGCATAACCCGAATCGTCTTTCCTCGCACCTGTCATAGTTTCTCAGTTGACTCTATCCACACACGTCTGAGACTCGATTTCTATAACGTCCGTCCTACACCTCCAACAACGATAATATTATTATATTATACGACTTTGTTAAAAAAAAAGTGTTCATGACGTAATGACTACAAACTTGACACAAATAAATATATTAGCAAAGATGAAAGCCCATTAAAATATGCCGTCATGTGGTTGATTAGATTTTTATACGTTCCGACAAAAGGTAACGTCTAGGCTGTTTCGTTTCGTTTAATGTCTTTATATATGTATATATTTCATCCACTCACTTGCCCACTACCTTTTAGCTTTAATCTTTACAAAGTATCATAAAGACCGTGTCGGCAATGACCGTTAACGTTTTGCCGAGTGACTTACGACCGTTAATGACCGTAGAATTTTTTTGCTGCACACCCACACACCCATCGATCTTACCAATAACCATACAAACGATCCACCGGTAGTTCAGTCAGGTACGTGTTAAGAGATAATAACAAATCAAATATATACACACACATATCGCCTCGGGTATGATAATAATAAATATATTTTATAGTGGTCACGTTGAATATATTAAAAGAGTTTTAAGGACATGCGCGCGCGCTGTCGAGGAAGAAAAAAAAGGCAACTCAGTTTATTTATTCGCAGCGTTTAAGAATTTTTTTTTTTTATGTAAACAAAGGTAAGGTAATCGTGTACCACACAATCGTCGTTATTGTTTAATAATAATTAGATCTCGCGCTTTATTAGAAATATCATTAGCGGTAAGTACGCAAACGCATCGGCCACATTGTGATGTCTAAGTCTAACGACCCGACTTTGTGGTCAGCGCGCTGCCACGATTAATCACTAAAATTTACTGCAACGGTGAAACATTAGCTTTGTCATTTGGAAAACATTGCACGGTAAATTTACACGAAATTAACCATAATTTTACCATATAATTTACCTAAGTATACAAAGTCAGATTTTTGAAAACCAATTTTACCGACTTTAAACATAATATATACTTTAAATTTACCTTTTTGAACGTCAAACACAAATAAAAATACAAGAAAAAAGTAATGTCTTGCTAACAGATGACCCATTTTATAAATAAATTGCAGAAACAAATGTAGATATTTCCCATGTAAACACATACTCTGCGCGCGCCAAAGACTTGCGATTTGACGCCATTAATTTTTTAGAATTTCTCGTCGAAAAACTAGTACTTAGATCTAAAACTTAGGTACGCACGGTGTTCAAACGAGATTTAGGCTTCACGGTTTATTATCAAATTCGTCGGCCGGCATGTCGGCAATAACTCTTCTTGTCAACCGGATTGTCTACATTCAATTAGGACCATTAAACAGGGTGATTACCGCGATGGCATATTATGAGTTTATTAATCGAACGTGACCCGAAACTTCTGCGTACTTACAAAATATATTCTAATGGCTGTTGTCCATAACTGGTAATAGATACGAACGATTCACCCGAGGCCAAAATATATTATAGCCACCTCGTCACCTAAGATTAATATTGTTTTGAATATGTTTTTGGGCAAAATTCGTTTTCGCCCCGTTCAACGGCGGTAGTCGGTCTCGCGCATTAAACAACAGCTGCCAACGCGCAAGTCGATAAACATTAAAAATAATGTGTATGTATCATATTTTTTGCAACCGTGTACGCGTATGGTCGGTCCGTCCAAACGGGTTTTTATATAATATATTTTATATATATTTTTTTTTTGCGTTAGACCAATGCGATTAATCCGCCAGAACGGCTCAAATCTAATTACCAGCGGTTTATCAACACGAATATTATTTTATATTGTACACAATATGCGTATCCAAGAACGCTAACAGCCACAACTGCATTCGGTTAAGTAGTTAAGTATAGCCACTATTAGTTGCTTAGGCGAAACTAGACATACATTCTAGGGGTGGCTAAAATTATGTATACTTGACTAAACATAATTATTATCTTCAAACCGTTAGATATAAAATAAAATATTTTAAAACAAAAATATTCTAAAATACAAAATTTCAGCAAATCGAGCATATTAAATTATCACGAATTAAGTTACAATTGCAATTAGGTAATTTAACGCTATACGGTATTTAAATAATTTTGTTAAATTACTTTTTAACCAGGTTTTTTGTTATAAATATTAATTGATTTGATTTACTTTTTCAGTTTGTTTATTAACAATCTATAGTACACTTTTCTGTTAGAAAAGCATTTACTTTACCGTAATGAGTTCAATGCCGCAACCGTTAACTTACTCGGCCATGCAAGTCTTCGGTTAGGATATTGTCTTTACTCAATTGTGCGAGTGTACTTACCTAATTAATCTTTAACTTGTCTTGTCGGTACATATTTTATACGATTCTGCCGCCGGGTGCTGTGACCACTAACTAAATGACTATTATGTTAAAAAATTAACAATAAATTCAATGCGACGTGTAGCAATTATTTTACTATGCTATATATGCCCAAGTATAGACTTAAGGGTTTTTTAACCTATGATAGAGGAAAATAGTTTTCTCGGAACGGCGCAATGAGAAAACAAAACAACTTTCTTTTGTTTTATTGTTCATTAAAAAAAAAAAAAATTGCCGGCTAGGATCAATCGTTATCGTTATTGATATTTTTACCGAGACGAGTAGTTCGGACTTAGATATATAGGCAATACCATTAGCGACAATTAAATACTTTACGGTACTTCTAGTTCTATTACACCGACAATAATGTGATGCGGCAATACATCAAAAGGGTTTTTGAAAAGCATGACAACATTGCAGAAACAAAAGCTCTTACAGGTAACACAGAGTGAATCTAAACTAAACTTGTCTTGGACGAATAACACAAAAAAAAAATTATGAACGAATGTTTTAGTTAAACTCGGCTAGATTAGATTAGATTAGGTTAGGTTAACTTCAAAATTGAGTAAAATTAAACTAAACGAAACAATGTAATTTATTTGTATAATAGTGCATGCTGCTATTGCTATACTTGCTGTTAACTACACTTAAATGTAAAAGTTAAGTGCAAAAGTATCTCTACTTTGATTTATCCAGCCAAAAACAACTATTGCTTAAAACAATTTATATTGTATGTTGAGAATTAGTCATAAATAAATAAAATATAACAAGTTTTTATGGAATTACTATTTTTTTAATTTAATTGTTTAATACTCATAAAATGACAACTATCTAAATCGTTTTTATTATTATTTATTTGATTTAAAATGCTCACATTTTTACATAGTATTTTCTATTTGGTTACACTTATTGTACTTGACCCTAATTTATTTTTTTAAAGGTTAGACATTTTTTTATCTCTGGCTTGTTATGATGCAGGGTATTTTTTTAAATATTTTATTACTCGTTTATTATCCACAAGTTTTACTCGGGTTTTTCGGGTATTTTCGTTTTAAATTTGTATTAAAATTAATTGACAATGATAATATAATCGTTCTGAAGATGGGTCGGGCAAAGAAGCCGAAACGGCATCTACTAACTGAACACGTGGATGATCTACAAACACAGTAAATAAATTAGATTACTCAAACTACTAATACATGTTAAAAACCATCGTAAAATGTTTAAAACTACTTTTTTGGTCAAAACCCGTTTAAAAATTATTTAATTACATTTTTACTATAGTGATAATATTGGGCCAGGATTTTTTTTTTAAATGCATGCATCATAGATGTCCTATATTTTGTTACTTACACGTGTTTAGGCGTAACTATTATAACAGCTACAGTTTCAGATTGTTTGCACAGCCCGTCTGCAGAGCTACAATATAACTCTGCAGACGAATTGTGCAATCCGGCATCCGAAACAGCAGCTACATACACTGTAAATAACTATGTATACATACCTAATGTTATATTAAACAAATTCTAAAGATTTATCACATAATTATAAATACTATAGACGTGGAAGTGTAATAAAAAGAACATTTTTGTACCATATAACTAAGACGGATCGGGTGTTGGTCTATAGTATATCATATTCGGTATAGTCTAGATCGAATCATGGTGTTCTTTAATACAAAAATATGGAAATCATGACCAAGTTTACTTGTAAAACATCATTATTTTTACACTTGAGGTTTTTATACTTCAAACGACACTTGCTGTTGCGTGAGTCGTTAGATTTGCGATAAGTACAATAAAATATTAGAAAACGAGAAAATCTATAAGAAAATACAACCGTCGATTGAGAAAAATCCTGTTGCAGACAGAGGCGATGGCGGCGTTAAAATACAAGATACAGATATCACACGGCCTGTAGGCCATGTTTGATGCGTTCAACGTACCGAGACTGCCGCCACTGTTTTTTGTATTATACGTTATATATATAAATATATATTATGGTTAT